GCCAGAACTAGACCCCAGCTTCTCTGCTCTAATCCCCCCCCCCCATCTCATCCCTCCCCACCGCCTCCCCAGCGCTGGGGCTGTCGCCCCAAAAGGTCTCACAAACCACTTCATGTTAATTGTTGTCATTTCGGTTCCGCCCCATTGGCTCCAATGGGTCCCTGGGGGGGGGCTTGGGATCGAATCTCTGCACCCAGCATAGAGGAGGGGTCTGCCCCCTTTGCTCAGCCCTGCAGCAGGCCCCAGGCGGAGATCCCAGGGCAGGGCCATAGGGCGCAGGGCTGGGAGCCACCATGCCTGTGTCTAGCACAGTAGCACCTGGGCCCAGGCCAGCCCGGGCCTCAGTGTCCCTGTCTGTGAAATGGGGGAGTCTGCAGGAGCTGGGCTCTGAGGAGGTGGAAACGCTGAACTGGAGCCGGCCAGGTGCTGTCCGAGGCTGTGGCAGAGCAGAGCAGAGATTTCATCCCCCGGCTGCTACTCACCTTGTCACAGAGAGCGGCTGGAGGGGCCCCCCAGCCTGAGCGCCCCCTTCACCCTCCCGGGAGCCTCCAGCGCTCCTTGCTGCTCTGGGGGGTCCCAGGCCTCCGAGTTGGGGCTGGGACACCTGGGGAGGGGGTGCAGAGTGGGGGGGGCTGCAGAGTCGGGGGGTGCAGAGGGGGAGAGCCGGGGGTGCAGATTCGGGGGGGGGGTGCAGAGTGGGGGGTGCAGAGGGAGGGTGCGGGGGGATGGAGAGTCGGGGGCTGCGGGGGGGATGGAGAGTCGGGGGTGGGGTGCGAGGAGTGCAGAGTCGGGGGCCGCCAGACCAGCTCCACGCAGCCCCCGGGAGATCTCAGCCAACCCCCGGGCGAAGCGGCAGCGAATCGCCGGGGGCCCGCTGCGGTCTGGGAACAAGCTGCAGGCGGGTCCGGGCCGGTCCCCCCGCCTCAGGGCAGGGCCTGGGAACTGACCCCCAGCCGCTCCGGATCCAGCTCCGAAGGTCTCGCTGCCGGGCAGCCCCCGGAGAGCGCCCCCAGTCCGCCAGTTCGTTCCCCGCTTGTACCTGGACGGCCCCCGCCCTGGACTCGCCCTGCAACGCGCCCGGGCTCCGGGCACCAGCCGCCGGGTTAATGGGGTAACGGGGCGCAGGGCGAGGGGCCCCGGGGCGCTTGCCTTGCCCGGGCAGCAGCCGGGGGTCCGCGGGGGCGGCCGCCCCTTACCTGGGTCATGAGCCGGTCGGCCCCCGTGTTCTCCTCGTCCTTGAAGATGATGTCGGGGTTGTAGTTGGGCACCAGGTCCCGGAACCGCTCGGCGCGGCGCCCCAGCCGGCCCTCGGCCCGGCCGCTCGCAGCCAGCGTCTGCTCGGGCGCGTTGGGCACGAACTGCTTGTAATGCAGCGGCACCAGGTGCCTCCGGGCCTGTCGCCGGCGCCCCGGCGGGCCCCGGCCCGGCCCGCAGCCCCGGCCCGGCAGCAGCAGGCAGCAGGCCAGGCAGAGCAGGGTGAGCGCCAGCGGGCCGTGCCGGGGCATCGCGGGGGCTGTCCGACGGCTTAGCTGCCTCCCGCGGCTCCGGGCTCCCGCATCGGGCCAGGGACCCCCGACAGCCCGGGGCCTCTCCGGGCAGCGCCGCCCCTAGGGCCCCGGGATCCCCCCTGGCACCGCCGCCCCCTAGGGCCCGGGGACCTCTCCTGGCAGCGCCATCCCCAGGTACCCTGGGTGCTTGGCTGCGCCCTCTGGTGCAGGGACCCTTGGGTGCCAGCCGTGCGCCCCGGGCAGCGTCCCCCCTCCTGCTGCTCCCAGCCACTGGGCAGCCCCGCCGGGTCCTTCGCTGCTGCTGCCCTTGCCAGGCTCCCGGCTCCGCCTTTAAGAGTCCGTCCCCCGGGAGCGGCGGCCACATCCCCCCGGTGCCGCCCCCGCGGGGCCCCGGCCAGCGCTCACTGGCGCGCCGTGCACCCAGCGCGCGTCCCCGCGTAACCCCTCTGGATCCTGCACGCGCGTCCTAGCGCACTACCAGCTTCGGTGCACCTGAGCGCGCTCCCGCCCTTTCACCTGCGCGAAACTCCAACCGCGCGCGGCGCTCCCCACCTGGCGCCAGCGGGAACGCGCCTCTGCCCTTCTCCGAAGCGCGCTCCTCACAGGTGTCCTTACTCCTGTCACAGTGGGGCCCACCGCACCCCCACTGCCGCCCCCGAGCCCTCATCCCACCCACTCCCTGCACCCCCAAGTCTTCCTCCCCCCACTGCACCCTCCGCCCCTTCCCAGCCCCCCACCCCTCCCTGCCCTCTTCCCACCTCAGTGCGTTTCCTTCCCCCCTTTGCACCCCGCTCCCCCCCGGGGTAAAGTCCGCAGCGGGCCCTACAGCTCAGGGCTGCCTGCTCCC